CCAACATAAACTTTAGGTTTATAATTAAAACCTAATGTTGAGTTGTCTGTGTTCCATTGATAAGATACAGAAAGCAAACATAAACCTCAATGGGTTGTCAATGTGTCCCTTGAGCATAAGAGCTCATCACAACCACTGGATCCTTCCAGATTACCACTAACCAAACATATGAAGTACATGGTTGTTGATTATTATCTAATCCTTGAAAACATGAAATTTCTTGGAAAAAAATGGAAAATGTAATTTGCAAACAGCAGCACACAAAATTGTCTTTGAAACCTTCAAGCAGAGCAAATTATTGAGCATAAAAAATTACAACCAGAATCAAAATTCAAGTCCATTAAGCACTCAGACACCAAATTACCCTTGAGATGTCATAGTAACTAACTTCAGACACAGATAAACATAGAAAGAGGATTTAAACAAACACAATAAACCATAGGAGAATATTCTCTAAAATATATATAACGGAGGGCAAATATGCCGCTTACCAAGGTTTTAGGCACAGATGGTGTCATTGGAATTAACTGTCTAGATTGCTTAATAGCCAACTCCTCAAGTCTTTGAGATCCAACATTCAGCTAACATAAGAAACAAATCACATAAGCACAAAACTCTTCTAACAAATGCTCACAAATACAAGAGAAATTGAAGTTACCAGGGGGGGAGTATGAGCACGAGTAGGCCCCTGAGCTACTGTTTCAGCCATATTAAGGCCAGTTGTCTTGGTTGGAACAATTGACGCTGAGGCTGTTTGAGTTGCTGCAACACCAGGGCCACTGCTTCCCATATTTACTGGCACCTCTGCTAAAGCTGATGTCCAGCCATCACCACTAGTCAAAGCAGAAGTACCTGCAGGCAAACTCTGAATAGCAGTACTCAAGCCAGGAGATGAGACTCTCCCTGTCTCTGCCCCAACTTGTCTCTCTTCAGCCCCAAGAGAGGGAAAATTATGTTCAAACGTAGATTTGTTACCAATTGCGTTAATTTCATTAAGAGCATTACCACTAGTATGGTTACTTTTGTTGACTGCATTTGAGTCACTTCTTACTTTCCTTGGCCAGGTGTCACCCCGCTTCCCCTTTATCAGAGATTGTGAACGCCGTAATGGATCTTTATCAAAACTTGGCAACATGTCATCCAAAGAATCAGCATAGTCAAGGTTCTGTTCCTTATCATGGTAACCATTAATATCTTTCTCCCAATCCCTATCACGTCTCCCTTTACTGAAACCACTATAAGATCGTGAGAAGGTAGTGCCGTTACTACTAGAGCTTTGGTGAAAATAAGCTGAAGCAGACCTATCTGAAACAGATGAGCGACCTATATCATGATTGCTACTTACTGAAGACTTATTTCTGGCATGCCTTGCTGTAGAATGATTGTCTACAACAAACAAAATAAACATGGATCAGAAACTTTCAAACTTACCGAAAAGGTTAGAGAAGTAGGAAATGATGGCCATGAGGTACAACTCATATTGTGTACATAGAAAAAAAAGCTGCTACATAAAATTTACTTCTAGGGAGATTCCCCTGAAGAGAACAACAAAATTTGTGGAGCCCAAGGGTGACCTCTCTTTTTAGCAAGAAAAATAAACTTCAAGAAAATAATGAATTTCAAAAGTGTAATGTAACATATTGAAAATCACATTAAATGTTTAAACAAACATGCTATAAGTCACTAAAACGCCAACACAAACAGACCTTCCCAGCTTACAAACATCAGAAATAATATCATGCCTGAAATAAACCAAAATTACCAGAGTACAAAGATGATGTTAATTGTTGGTGTGAACTGCCACTGCTACTGATACTTCCACTGCTCTTCAGCCATTGCGGCACTAATGAAGGCTCACTTCTTTCCATAACCATTACTGAACATGATCATAAAGAAAGAATTCCAAATTTTTCTTTCTGTTAAACTTCTCAGCTCCGAGCTGTCCCGCCAAAATTGTTTTATTTCCTCACAAAAACCAATTCAAATGCTCCTCAAGATGCACCTTAAAAGTCACTACTTCTCTAAAACCAAAATTTCCAAGCCCCTAATTCTTCAAAACTGTTCTGTACAAAATGTAATTAGGCTTGGCTAGTTCAGTCTATACACTATCTACTTTGAAGTCACCAAAAATCTTCAGTCAAGATGAACCTCAATCAATCAATCCAATCAATTCAATTGAACTTTGGTATGTTATACTTACCAATAAATACCACCAAAGATTCTTTCTATGAAGTATCTTCTCACCTAAAAGGCTAAAACCAAATATATGTTAATTATGACCTTCTGCTTCTATATCGGGGAAGGGCTGCTTCCAGGCTCCTCAAATTCAAGAAGAAAAAACTCAGAAGACCCTCATCTTAGAAACACAACAATTTTACCCCCTGAACAAGCAAAAGCAAAACGAGGCGGCTCTGAAAATATAACCCCGACCCATTACCGTAAACAACCACGAAAACAAAACCCTAAAATCTGTATGGCAGCAGGCAAAAGCTCCCCAAAATCTAGGGTTCCTCTTCTGACTAAGAACAGTAGTATACCACAGCAACCCAACAAATTTCAAAAACTAAACCCCAAAATTTGCAGTCAGTAAACCCTCAACTGATGGAACAAAATCACGAAAAGGGAATCGAGAGAAGAGAGAACCTCAATCGAAGGACACACTCAACGCTGGACGCCCTCAATTCTTGAACGAATCAGTAGGGGAAAACGGCAGAAGGAGGCGGAGAAAACGGGGGTCCTGAAACTGTATGGGAGACTCCAATGAGTATAGAACGGGTGTGCGGCTATGGGCACGAGGAGGTTGTGGAGAGGAAGAGGCGGTTGAGGAATGCGGGGGGTGAAGACGAAGGTCGAGTTTTATCTGAGAAAGGATTCTGAGGGAAGTTGTAGAATGCTTCGTCGTATTTTGTGTTATCGCTTTTTGCTAAAACACAGGAAGCGTTACTCTATTTTAATTTCTCTGTTTATTATTGTGTTTATCTCTTGATTTCTTTACTCTATCTAATATTTTTTCCTTAAAAAAAAATAAAAACTCATAATAAACTATGAGTATGAAACTATGAAACTATTATTATGAATCTAATTAAGCAACAAAAAACAAAAAACCTCAATGTCGATCCGAATTGAATCGTTTAAGTCATTCAAGCCCCATTACAAACTTTCATTCTGATGAAGGCTTTGTTTGTTAGTATTGTAATATAAGGATACTTTTTTTTATCTTTTATTATCTTAAAAATATATAAAATAATAATTAAATTTATATTAAAAATTAATTAAAAATAATAAATTTATATTTTTGGATAAGATATTACGTAAAAAAAAAGTTTGTGTAAAGCAACTACAAATGAAATTTAAGTTCCCCAAAGTAACTTTTGTTAACATCTAACCTCCTCAATACACCATCATAAAATTAAAGAGATAGGACCAGAGATCCCACATGATTATCTTCTTGTTCTTATTAAGGACTTGTTGACTTTATCATTTTAGAGGGTATTCAATAAGCAAATCCTTAATATGTATTAAAAAAAAAATACTTAAGGGAGAAAAGATGAGGTTGCCGATCCTATTTCATTGAATTTGGCTTTTAGTCTCATGATTGCGTAACTAAGAGGGTTAATAGTTAACTGTTACAAAAATTATTTTGAGAACCTAAATTACAACAAAAGTTTGAAAGAGGACTTAATTGCACCAAATGACTTGGTTTAGGGGCTCAATTATGGATTGTTCCTTAGAAAAATAAATGAAAAAGAAGACTTGACTTTGGAAAGAGGTTTAGGTCCAATTGGGTTGGATCTATGAAGTTTAGAGTCCAGTCAGACTCCTGGACCCATGTCACAACTCTAAAATATGTACTTTAAAAACAGCTTCTTTTAGAAAAGAAAATTCAACAGGTTAATACCATTCACATATTGTAAAATTTACTTAAAAGTCAAGCCGTTGTACAAAGGATACCTTAGAGAGAAATAGAGCACAAGATTCAATTTCATGATTGTTTCTATGGATAATATAGTGACATGGTCAAAAACAGAAGGGATAGGCTTAGACAGCTTAGTGTGAAATACTGTTCATTGGGTATTGAAGTTAATGACTTGCATTAGCAATGATACCAAATTGTTCCGGTGGGAAATTCTTGTAAGCGTCTAATATAGCAACAGCAATTTCTGAGACTTTGGTCCTTATCTTTGAAATTTTGGATTTCATGTACTAAATTGTAGGCTATCCTAGTAAAATTTTTATTGCCTAAGGAGTCATTTAATCTACATCAACATTCATGTGAAAAAATGGAACCAAGTGTAAGATAAGAACAAACGGCATGAGATCATCTTTATTGGGCTATTAATGATAAAGGTTAATTTGCATCTTTCAAGGGATTTAAAAGTTAATTTGCATCATTCAAAGGATTTGAGGGCTTATTTATACCATTTTTAGTTCAAGGGTTTGCATTTTTATTTGGGATAAGTTGGGGAACTTTTGGTTTTGCCTTGTCTTTTTGAGTTCCTTAGTTTAAAGTTTAAACTGTAGTAAATTATAAAATATAAATACTTAAATGTAAGAAAATCCTCAATATTAAGGACCTACCCCTTATCCAACTCTCATTGTGGTGCAATACATATTGCACATTTCTTTTTCTTGTTTCTTTATGCTTCTGCTTTCTACCCCAAAAATAGAAAATTTAGATTGGGCCTAGCTTGATTTCAAGAACTAGCCTCGCTAAAGAAAGGCCCAAAAAGTTGGGACCATGGATTCAAGAAAGGCGGACCCGGAACTACCAATAGACCCGAATTCAATTAGGACGATCTCCCAATATAAAATCACGAAAACCCTAAAACCGGAGCCGGGATTAAAGCTTTGAACTTTGAAGGGGTCTAAGGGAGTTGCTGAAGCTGAAGAGAGCTTCCGAGCTCAATTCTTTGCCTTCTGTAATCAAGTTTAGCTACAAACATGCCCAAGTCCAAGCGTAACAAACAAGGTCTTTGCTTCTTATTTACCATTGAATTTGATTTCTGAAAGTTTGATTTTGCCTTTTGTTTGGTTGCTGAGAAAAGGGTAGAAAAATATCTGTTCAATTGTTATTTTGGCTCTCATGTGAGCTTGAATGCAATAATCACGTTATCTACAATTGGGTTTTCGCCGTTGAATCATTCTGAAGAGAATTTTTATGTCAATGTGATTCTAATATGAGCTCTGGGGTTTATGAAGGGAAACAAGAATCAGATTGAATAAAAGTTAAGTAATTGAATTCAACTTAGTTTAGATTGACCATTAAGATCGTATATGGTAAACTGTTTGTTGATTTAGTTATCTAGTAGGAAAAGAAAGGCGTGTGCTTGTTTATTTGAACCATGTTATTGTCAAAACAAAGCAATGGATTACTCATTCCATTTTCTTTTTATTTACGGAGAGGATATGCATTTTGGTATGATGTTTTGTTAGATGATAAGTGTTTGTGTTCTGTTGCAGAGCCTTAAAAATGATTTAGTTGCTTGTATTTGCACTTTTGCAGTTACATTATCAAAGACCAAGAAGAAGGGGAGGGAACATAAAGAAACAATAGTAAATGCGATAAGGGAGTCTGTGGAGAAGTACAATTCTGTCTATGTGTTCTCCTTTGAGAACATGAGAAATCTCAGGTTCAAGGAGTTCAGAGAACAGCTCAAACCAACCAGCAGGTATATCACAAGTCATAGAGCATTTTGTTAATCAAGTGACTGATGGCTCAGTGCTTAATTAGTCACATTTAATTGTTATAATTTGAAAAAAGTTAGACCAATGAGATGTTACCAAATTTTATGTATTATTTTCTCTTTCACAGCTTCTATTTTTAAGAAACCATTTGGAATGGTTGATAACTTGATATGGTATATGGAAGGGTACCTAATTTAATGAATTTTTTCCTTTCAGATTTTTCCTTGGGTCCAATAAAGTTATGCAGGTTGCTTTAGGTCGTTCTGCTGCTGATGAGATAAGACCAGGCATTTATAAAGTTTCTAAAGTATGCTTTTATAGTTTTATGAAACCAATAACTTCAGGTGTTCATTCTTTTTCATGCTTAATTTCTCTTCCACATGAATTTTTATTTATGTTATTTTTGTCATTCTCCAGCTTTTGCGTGGAGATTCTGGACTTTTTCTTACCAACATGTCAAAAGAAGAAGTTGAGAGGTAACTTTTCTGCATTCTTTGTATGTTCTATTTCTTAACAAATCCACTACATGTCCTTCCAGCAGATCAAAAAGTTTGTTGATTTTTCACTTTTCATTTACCATAATGTTTCTTTTCATCTTTTCATCTTCTCATATTTATTTTTGCTCCCTCCCCTCCCCCCCTCCCCCCCTCCCTTTCTCATCCCTCTCTTTTGTAGCCAATTTTGACTTTTATATCTCATGTTATGACTTTGTAGCTTATTCAATAAATATGAAGATTACGACTTTGCAAGGACAGGAAGCATTTCAACCGAAAAGGTTTTGTTTAAACAGATTTGTGCATGTTCAAATTGTTTCATACTTTTTAGTTAAATAAGGAGTTAACTAGTTAAGGTATTTTACATAACTATAGAAAAATCCAACATTAAAATATTTCTTGTAGATTAAAATATTTCTTGTAGCTAAAAAATGATATGCTGCATATGTATTAGACATCTTTCTTCTTTCTGACTTCAATTATAGATTTTGATACATCCTACATGTATTCTCATCGACACATGCCTATGCTTTGAACCCTTGTAGGTGGAACTTCCAGAAGGTCCTCTGGAACAATTCACACATGAGATGGAGCCCTTTTTACGCAAGCAAGGGATGCCTGTTCGCTTGAACAAAGGTGCCTCATATTTTTCCATTTTCTCATACAAGTGTGCATACATCATTGTTGAATATAACACTTTGTTGTCATCCCTAACGTGCAGGTGTTATAGAACTTGTTTCAGACTTTGTTGTTTGTGAAGAGGGAAAGCCTTTGTCACCTGAGTCTGCTCGGATACTGGTTTGTATTTGTTTTGTATTTCTTCATTACCTTTTATTATAGTTTTAGGCTGGGGGATAAAGGATATGATTATCAAAAGAGAAGTTTACTAAAGCTCAAGACACCTGTCGCATGGCATTCTTTGAACCGGCAAAGTTCATTGGTTTGGTACCTTGAGGATGCTAACCTTTGTAACTATTGTCTTTCAAATGCAACTGGTGTCCACCAATTTCTGTTGGATGAAAGATGGGGAAAATCCTCCTTTTGATCTAACTGTTTAAAGTACTTCTACCAAAAAGAAAAAAACAACAACAAAGATGAAGAAGAAGAAGAAGAAAGAAAGAAGGAAAAAGTTATATATGTTTCTCTTTCTCTGGGTATCTGGACATTGGAATTGAAATTACTTGATGATCCTTTTATAAATTTGCAGCGCCTGTTGGGGATCAAGATGGCTACCTTTCGGCTCCACTTGATCTGCAGATGGGGCCCTGAGGATTTTGAACTTTATAAAGAAGGGCTAGAAGATTCAGATGTTGAATCTGCCTAAAGCGTTGACTTCAGATTCATTGAAGTTAAAAAATCAAACTTTAAGAGAAGACTACATGATTAATTAAATCTTGCAAATAATGTTGTGGGATCTTCTTCTTGACAGTTCTGATACAGAATGATGGAGTGCCAGTGTTGCAGGTTATTGCCAAGTTTTGTCCCAGCCAATGGTGTTAAAAGTAACTAGTATTCCCTTTTTATTAGGATGCTTGCTGTTGTGAATTTTGATACATTTGTGGCATTAAGGTGCCTTTCAATGTAAAATTTTGGCAGGTTATGTTCGAGGATTGCAATTAACAACATTATTTGTGTACCAGACATTTGAATGGAAACCCGGAAAAGTATTTGCTTTTATGAAACCAACCTCATATTTGTCATTTTGGTTGCTCAAGTTTCATTGTTATCAAAAAGCTAGAGATCTGCTACCCCAGACTTTAATTTTCTTTTTCAATAATATATCTTCTCTTTATCCAAAAAAAAAAAACCTAGAGATCTTATCAACAAATGGTACGGTGATACGCAAAGTTCCTCAGAAGTTTGATAGGAATCAGTGGCTCCACTCGTCTGATCTGCTTAGGCTATTAAAGGTGTACTTGCATCGTTTATATATTACCTTGCCATGCTGATGGTGCGTAAAATCTAAACCCAGTACCGTCAAAATGCGATATGCATTGATGTGCAAGTTCACATACATTGTTCAGAATGAAATCTGGATAGATCAATCTCTGGTTCCACAATGCAGTTTTTGCATGTCATTCAAACCTTAAATGGAAACTACAGAGTTTGCTCACAATGACAAGAACCAAATTTCACGATTCTGACAGTTCAGCCTTTTGATCCTCCAAAAGCTTTAGCTCCTCGAGCCAGCCTTCCAGTTTTGCCAACTTTTCCAACTGTTCTGGCTTCATATCTTGCTGGGGAGTTTTCTGCTGTTGAGCTTCAGCAAGTCGAATCTGAAAGAGCAAACAAACAATCAATTGAACCCAAAATATATAGCCATTGATAGAACCTGCTCTATATCAAACCAAGCCTTGAAAATCAAATGATATTCCCATAAAACCCATTTTAGATTTCCCCAAAATATTAAGAGCCCACAGACATGCAGCTTAGAAATTGAAGATACAACTGATGGTTAGAACTAAACCCTCCCTCAATCTGAATAAGTTAAACCAAAAAAATTCAAGAAATATAGGGTAAAGGAAGACAGGGAAAGGAACCATAGGGCATCAATTTGTTATCGAAATTTGTTGCCAACACTAACTACCCGTGACTTGGCAGAGGCTCTCTACAAGAGGAATGGTCATAAGAATTTCTGTACAGAATGTAAAGCAGCATAGCCTTTCTGAATAGAATTCTCTTATCTAAAGCATGCAGGTTCATCTCTCAAACTATCAATAAAACTTTATAGCAAACTCGAAGTAGTCCTGTGTGCAAACTTCCCATAGCATATGTCTATGTCAACTAAGTCACATGAATATCAACACACAAATGCACTTTACTCCATAGAAAGTAATGTCATTTCATTTGAAAATTGCGTAAGTTCAGTTTAATTAAATTAGTGTACTACACAAATACAACCAAATAAAATCTCAAAGCATTAAAAGAATTACTCTAGTTAACCATAATCTTCTTCCAAATGCCACAGGGAAAGATTTATAAGTTCCAGCACACAAAATAGCTCATGACGATGTTCATTATTAACAATTTCCAATTATCAACAAAATGTAATCATCAGCTTATCAAATCAAATGTTTTCCCCTGATAGACAGCACAAATGTTATTGCATTGTCAATATTTTGTTAAGATATAATTAGATGTGGAACAAATAAATCATTATATCATCATCATCATCACCATTATTGCTTTTCTAAATAATATAATAATTATTTTATGCATGGAAAGTTAAAAGCATGGCCAGGCATACCTTCTTCTTTAGTGCCCGAAGTTTCTTATCAATGTCTTGAACTGGCACCCCAGCATCTGAAGCCTCAATTGGGTTTGATGGAGGGGCAGATATAATAGGGTTTGAAGAAACCGCAAGCTCAGTCATCTCAGATGTCAACATTTTAATGGATTCTGACCCCTGCTCTGAATCTTCTGTTTTTGTCTCTTCAACTGCCGTTGCGTCCAAGTTCATAACCTTTTCAAGAGCAGCCTGCCGTAGGTAATTTAATCAATCATACACATTAACTATAACTATGAACAGAAAGTATCTTGTATGCCTAACAAGTAAAGCAATGGCAAGCCACCAAATCGTTATTTCTGTGTTCTGGTTGAAACAATAGCCATGGACAGTAATGGAATTAATTGAATGAGTAAAAACATAAATCAGGAGACAATGAGAGATGAGAATAACCCATTGCCTCTTGAAACAGTTGAAATGATCAACTAGACCAAAAAAGGTAAAGCTAAGGTAAAAGGATAGAAAGTCTACACCAGAAGAGAAAGCATGGTGCAGTCATAATATATCTTCTAACCTTCAACTTTTCCAACAAAATAAAGAAAGATAGAAAACACAAGTCACTTTACTCAATTGGAAGAACGATTAATCTATCTATTTATCTAAATTTCCAGAGGGGCACGAAAAAACAGCATTAGAGAAGGCTTTTTTTTATGAGAGCCAGGAATCATCCTTATAGGGGTTAGTCAACAAACCACTCCAAGACAAAACAAACTGATTTGATATAAATCTACTAAAGAGAAATTCAGGATACACCAATGCAAGACTATCTACAGAAGCTATATACCTGTTGCCGCTTCTCCTTCTTTCTTTCATTTCTCTTTGCTGACTTAGTCTTGGGCTTTGTATCCATAGGTGAATCATATCCCGGAGGCACCACTTGGGACTCCATTTCCTTTCTCCACTGCATCACAAATGATAAACAAATGAATGTCAATCCTCTCTTCCTTCATCTTCTTCCCTCAAGCTATCACTTTCAGCAAATAACCTAACATTGCTAACTCCTATACCTCAAAAGCAATAACCTTTACTAAAACAAAAGCTACATATATCTATCCAGCCAATCATTCATACATATAATTCTACTAAATAAAAGCACAGTGACGGCGGTGACATACCAGGGCACCTTTGGACTGGTAAATGGCGACTTCCTCCTGGGGAGTGTACCCGGCCCGAATCTTGATGGGTTTTCTGAGGGTGCCATCGGGTCGGCGTGTGGGAGCTAGAATTCTCTCTCCTTCCTTTAGGTTTTTGCTCAGCTCCGCCAGTCTCTTCAATTGCTCGTCTCCTCCATTACTGCTCGCCATGGAAGAATTCAGACCCACCAATCCGCTTTAATTGTTTCTAAGGATTCAGCAATTGATTAGGGTTCTATCTGGTTCTGGGGTAGCAGACACAGCGTTGAGTTCCAACTAGGAAGCAAGAGGGATGGGTTTTCTTTTCTTTTTCCCTTTTTTTTTTTTTTCTTCGTTTTAATGATTATTTTCTTCTTGTGAGATTTCTTGGTAAATACATTAAATTCCCTTTTTGATCCCAATTATTCAGGTATTTTAACTTCAGCCCTGTGCTTAAACAACGCTTTAAAAAGTTTGTTATATTTAATTGCATTTTTTTATATTTAATTTTTATAAAATATTAAAAAAATTAACTTTATTTTTAAAACTAAGGTCACAAGCATATTTTTAATTTTTTAATATAAATTAATTATAAAAAATACAATAAATATATCTTTAAACTGTACATAAAACATAAATTAAAAATTTTAAAAAAAAGATCCAAACTCATGCTTTCAAAAAAAAAAAAAAGGTTTTCTTATTCTACTATATAAATTATACTAAATTATTAAATAAAGGTTATTAAAGAAAGTAATAATCTATCGTATTAAGAAATATACCTTTTATTCAATAATTTATATTATATAATAATTACATCACACTTTTAAAAATAAAAAAATAAAAAAAATTAGGAATAACCATGTTGAGAACTAGACAAGGAACTGGCAAGCTAGTTTCCTAAGGAGCTTGAGTTTTGTAAATTTTCTTTTGAGCAGAAGTCAGCCTAGGAAATATACTCTTTTTTTAAGTACAGTTCGATAGTTTTAAATCAGCTAAGCTGGAGTTTGTTGACACTCTTAATTTCCTATCTACCTATACATCATTTCCTAATTCAACAAGGTTAAATTTCTAAAACAGTTAAGAGAAGAAAATTCTTGGTAAATGCGTTGGTACCAAATGAATAATCTGTTTTAACCACATAAGAAAGACAAGACCTAGTTAACCACACACTGGGTTCAACTTAGACAGCAAGTAATAACAACTAATCATCATGTACCAAAAAAAAAAAAAACAGTTAATCATCAATCAGCGTCCAAAAATGAGGAGTATGCAAAGGCAAATTGGAAAATTATTTATAATCAGTAAAGGATAACAAACCAAATAACTTGTCAAAAACTGTGAGTTATCCCATCTCTATCAAATCATATCATGCAAATGTAAATGTAAAGTAACATCAGACAAATGCAAGCAATTAACATATATTACAAAAAAGAAGAAACAAGTTGATTGTAGCTATATTGTCTAATCTCCTTCATTTGGATAAGAGATTGCAGCCACGCCTCCTTGTTTACCCTCTTTGAGAAGCACTTGATCAAAGTAATCCTTCTCACTTCTCATGTACAGTTAAAGAATACAAATTACCATGGACAAAAGACAACAACCATGAGGTCTTCTTTCAGGAGATATTACCAAGATCAATATTTGATGGTTTGTTGTCTGGTCACACAAGCTGGAAAGCCTGATCGTCAATCACAAGATAAACTTCAGGAAGAGCAGTCTCATCTCTCCAGGAGCACCAATTAAGATTTTCTGGTTCTACTATGAAAGTTTGATTAACATGTGTCTCCAAGCTATTACTCCCTCTTATCCTCTGTCTCGTCTTCATGATCAGAAATACCAGCACCTCCAACATGCTTCTCCAGCTTGGTCAAACTAACATCCCCATCTGATTGTCCCCTGGTTAGAGATTGAGCCTCTTCCTCATCAAATTCTTCTCCTGCTTCTTCTGAGTATGCATAGCTGATAAGAATTTGCAGTATGTCAGAATAAAGAAGTGATCGGGGTATATTTATTTATCAAGAGTTGATCTAAAAACAGACAAACAGATAAAAAATGAAAATAAGAAAACCTCAAACATTGTTCCAACTAGAAGTGGACAACTTGCACAAGCAAGATTAAAACAGTGAACATAAAAATAAAAGAGGCCACTAGAAGTCAGACAAAATATGTCTTTTCTTCTAGTGAAATGAGCTCCTTTACATCAGATAGACAACATATCATCCAGGCATTTTCCAATAGGAGAGAAAACATACCGTTGAGAGCTTGAAGATGGGGCCCAGAGATAGCAGATAACACAGAGTAATACAAACGAAAGAATGTCCCAGAAAGCTGTGATGATCCAAGCACTCTGCCACCTTTCGTTGAATGGATCTGTTGCTTTGAAATACACCTGCATAAGCAAAAAGATTGGTTGGATCTCTAGTAAGTACAACCATCGGCATCTTAGAATACAGCGTCAGCAAAAGAAGTTATCTGCTTAAAACAATAGCTACTCAGTACTTAACATCAAATTTGGCACTTCCTGTGACACTGATTAAAACATTGTAGGTTCTGCATGATAACAACCTAAAGGTCATTGGGTGCTCCGGGGGAGGGGGGTGATTGCTTTAAGTATTCATTATTTCCAAAAGGAAGCATTAATCACAATTCTTTTTTTTTTTATTTTTTCATATATACAAAATAAATAAACAAACAATATCCTATGGTTCAGTAATTCAAAACTAATTTAGGGAAAAAAATCATACCTCATAAGTTATCCATGCCACAGAAGCAATCACTGTCACGGCCAAAGCATTCGAAAATTTCCTATATATATCCAACTTTACTGATATCCTCTTTGCCTAAATAAAAATAATATTAGTCATAGATCCATGCTATATGGAGAGAAAACAGTCAAATGAGAATATGAAAAAGAAAACAGTCTTATAATGATGAACAAACAAAAGGCCACCAAAAACTTAACCAAAAATCAAAAGTACCTGTAGCTGATCCAGTGTCTTTGAAAGAGATGTAAAAATCCACAAAATCAAGAATGCATCTATAAATGCATCAGGAAGGACTAGAAAGAGTCTGGCTCTCCCTGATATGTCATTGATGGTGCCAACATATTCAGTAATATCCAGTAATTCAGATGCCAAGAAATAAGTTACTCCAAGAAGAAGCACCTTTGAGGTAAGGCCACCAAGAGTTGGCCTTACAACACCATAACCCATTGACACTGAAAGTATAAGAAGTCTAGAAACTGTTTTTCCTATAGCTCCTACAGTCACAACCCAAGTTGTAATCACAACTGGCCTCATTCCTGTATTGTTAAAATTTGCAAAGTCAAAGTACCATAATATCATTTCAAACAAACCCAGTCCAATAACAGCAGTGATGCAGTGCTGGAGTTGCAGTACATCATTCCAAAACCTCATGCACTGCACAGACCAAATGACGCTCAGTAACAAATATGCAAGTGACATGAACACATAAAACTTCATTAATGGAGCCATCCTCCCAGGCAAATAACCTTCAGGATTCTTCCACACTGTTTTCCCACTCATTACTAGTCCTTTGAGTTTTGGATCACATGCAATAAAGAACAGATTATACATTCCAGTCCTCGTGATTGGAACTTCCTTCATATCCATGCTTGAAACTAACGATCTCCCACTGAAGTATACCTTCAAAACAATTGGCCAGTTATTATCTGTCGCAGAAGGTATCCTAATGACTTCACCTTGCTTGCAACCTTCCAGCTTAGCAAGATCAGGGGTGCAACATATTGATCTCTGCCCACCATATGCTGAACCACCAATATTGTTCCGATCTGCAGCCTCAAAAATCACTGCTTGTATCAACCCAGTATTTTGCGCCTTCCGTGAATACTGCTTTGCCGCAGCCTTAGTCCTCCAGAAAGTGATATTCTCAAATCTATTCCAACAAAACATATAGGACATCAGTTTCTAAAATGGTGCCTCTTTCACTAACACAAGTAATAGTAGTACTTTCCTAAAAAAAAAAATATTGGCATACTTCAATTTTCTTGTTCTTAATTTCTAGAAATTATATTAACCAAACATAACAAATCCTCTGCACAACCGGAGAAAAAGATCGATAACAGGCATTTCAGGAACCCAATCTGGTTATCAATATTAAAGATTAAGAAGAAGATTAAAAATACTAATGACTTTCATCAGATCTAATCCGAAATCCATGAAAACAATAAATGAAGCAGTAACATTGCCTTCAATAATTCAAAAAACAATCGACATTTTAGGTGATCGAAATGGCTCACGTACCGGATGAAAGAGTTGCCGTCGGAGCTTGAGGCGGAGAGGCCCTCGCTGCCGCCGGAGAGGAGGTAGGAACTGCCGACTTCGGTGAAGAGTTGATTCCGGTAGATGTGGAAGGAGGCGTCGATTGTCGTCAAAGAGAAGGATAGCAGAAGGGAGATTAGAAGGATAATGCTGGTTTGAAAAGCGAAATCCATGGCGAGGGAATTGGGGGAAGAAGAAGATAGGAGAACAGGAAAGAGAGTTTAGATCGGCGAATTTGAAGGGGGAGTGAGTGAAACAGAAGCAAACGACTCAGCCGTCGCTTGTCGGTGAGGGAGTTCAGTAGGAAAATACGTTACGCGCACAGAAAGCGAGTGGCAATGATCATTTTTCGCCAAAAATAAAAAAAAATAAATAAATGAATTATTTCCGCTTTAAATTCTATTTTTTTTCTTTATTCTTTTATGAAAAATAAAACGATTGAGAAAAGATATTTTTATATAATGTACTACATGTCATGATTGTGAATCATTATTTATTTTCACTTGCTCGAACAGTAGAAATTGGTGTGTATTAATTTTAAATTTTTTTT